TATACCTTGTTATACAAGCTTGTTATAGAAGACAGTTAGAATACCTGTGACTATGTAGAGGAATTATTGATAACAATCAGTAATTGAGAAATGTTACTGAAAGGTAGAAAACTGACCTATGAATATGTGTACTTCTGCAGATATACTGGAAGTCTAAGAAATAGAGTGGGAAACAAGAGTGACAAGTTTACATAAGGATGTTGGTGAAATAAGCATACTAGAACTAGGAAACTGGGGATTAGGAACATAGCATTGTAATATTACGGTTCATTAAAAAAAGAGATTAGAGTATACAAGAGGAGTAATAACACTTTATTTAAAATATAGTTTAAAATCAAATCAGGTAAAACAAATGTATTTGTAAACAGTATAGGATGTTGTGGTTTAAAGCTCCAAGTGTGACTCTGAAAAGGTAAACTTTGGGGTTACACACTCAGCTAATGCACAGTAATAATGCTGACATGCCACAGGAAATTAGGCTACAAGGGAAGCCTATGCAATAATAGTAGAAGATAACTGCTGTACACATAAAATAAACATTTGGACAACTTTAATGACTCCTCTCCTCTATGGAGCATCTAAAAGGAGAACAACAAAGTAGACAAGGCTTAAGGAAGCTTATTAAAAAGAAGTGCGAAGGATAACCAGAAGGGAGGGGGGACTGTGGCAGGACTCAGTCATAGTCTGAAACAGAGATTCTCTAACTACCCAGTGTTTTATTAGTAAAGGCTGAGTTAATCTGGGGCTTGATGGGAGTTCAGCAGTGTGAGCACTATGGGCCACCAGAAATGAATGCTATTGCACCTAACTCTCAGCGCTACCTTTAATTGCTAAATCCTCCTGAAAATACAGTTGCAAGTACAGTTCTGTGGAATAAGAAAAAGGGCAGCACATTCTATCAGATGGACCAAAAAAGGGGAAAAGATGAAGTTATTATTGAAATAGGACTTTGACACACAGAGTTAAGAAAAATGGTGATTTTCTTTGATAAGCTTCTGATTTGAAGTCAACTGTGGGACTGAACCATTATTAATGGTTCACTAAGGCTGCAAATTAAAAAAAAAATAAAAAAATTATGTAAACACCACATGTAGAGAAACTGGAATCTGATATTTAAAAATATTAGGTCAAATTAGTGGCTTTCTCCTTCTTTTCCCAACAAATTGTAACGAAAAGTTACTTAGGACTTTCCTTTGATATGAGCACACCATTTTGATACTAAGTGTTGACCTTGTGTTGAGCAGCAGCAATGCAGAATTTTCATGTATTTATATTTGTATGATCTATTGGCATATCTGTAAATCATTCTTTTGAATTGCTTTTGCATGTAAAGAAATTGAATACCTAAGTAATAGTTCTTCAAACAGCAGAAGTTTGTTTATGTACTATGAAGATGTTGCAAGACATGAATCGGATCAGCAACTACTCACTGTTACAGTTAGAACACTTGTTTAATTCCACAGCAGTTGCTTTTACAAATAGTTAAACTTAATGAAATAAAGGAAGCATTATGGAATTGCTGAGAGAACAGTAATTGAGGAAGTCATTCTGTAGATATGCTAATAACAGGAAAAATATTCTACTGATGGCATGATATTTTATGCTGTATCGCTATGGCTCCAAACTTCTGCCTTAACCCTCAGATACCTGCAGAGAATTTGTAGGTCTACACACAGAACTGGTCCTGTAATGAGACAACCTTGGGATTGGACATGAAAAGTTCCTGCATACTATTTCCTGCATGCTAGGAACTACTAGGAAGGGATAGTAGGTTTTCAATGACCAGATCAGGATATCCCAAATTGCACGGACAGACAAAAGTAAACACAGATGACCTTGTATGGTTGTGCACTGGCCACAGGCAAGGACATTTTGCCTCCAGAACCATTTAGGTCATCTTAGGAATGTTTTATGGGTTTGCTCCCACGTGGTAAAGACACTGTAGTGAGTGCTGGAAGTGAGGTGAGCATGGTACTGTGCAGCTCTGGGCATAGGCTACAGGAATAAAAGAATGCATGTGAAGCAGTGCAGTACAGAATCTCTGCTGCATTTGCCACTTGAGCTGGCTTGTTCAAAGCTGCCTGTGGCAATTCTGCAGTACACTGCAAGCAGCCTGAACAGAAGAAAGAGGAAAAAGATCACCAAGGAGTGGTCAAAAACATGGATAAATCCACACATGTTCAATGGCCAGGAGGTCATACATTGAAGGGAATAGTAATCTTCCATATTTTCATCCTCAACTCCAGAGCCACCACACCCTAGAGCTGGAACTGCCCGCTCCACAGAAGTTCGTGTCAGTTCAGTCATTTCACAGTGCACACATCTTAGACAGTATGGCCTACAGAAACCCCATGCACAAAATCAGATGTGAAAAGGAAAATAGTATTGCCCATGACCTCTGCTCTGTGATGCTTAATGTTACACTGACTCATTTATTCTCTTGAATGTTAATGTGGTCTAAAACGATCAACAGAGGAAATCTTTAGTGAGTTGCAAACCATGACTCTTCAGTATTTTGAGATGTTACAGTTTCTGTTGCAAAATCATCCAACGTGATCCCATTCTTTAACTCAGTTCCTTACTGAGTTAACAAACTCAGTAGCTTAACCCCCCCCTTTTTTTTTTTTTTTTTTTTTTTTTTTAATGAACAAACATATAACAATAGGTTTACTGGGTTAAAACTAAAGCACAGTCTCCTGTCTGAAGCACTGGTTGAAGTTTTGCAGAAAGCAGATAGAAATCAGTGTTTTAAAAACTATCCACCCAACTAATCTGTGCTATCAATTAGGGCAGACTACACATTCAGTGAAATTCTTCAGGATTCACTTATAATTATCAGTTTTCCTCTTGACACTGCAGAGAGGTAGCCAGGAAATGGTTAAAGGTGCTCAACACATCGGATGTTATTTGATATAAAAGAAAAAGAATGGCAGTGTGAATCAGGAAGGAGTGACAGACTGCTTTTCTGTTGGCTTTAAACCACGCTCCTTTAGTACCGAAGAGACCTCACCTAAAACAACATCGTAGAGTCATCATTGTTCCTGTTGTTCCCCCAGAGGGCTGAAGGAAGGGGGAACTGTGATTCCCTTGTGCGTTCTTGAGACCAAAAAAAAGAATTAGAGGGAGCAGCAGCAGGAACTAACTCATTACTGAGCATCAAGTGTTTCACACTGTTATAGCAAGGAAAACATTCCAATGCATTTATATCTGACTATTGTGTTTTTAACAGTCAGTGTGGAGCAGCAAAGAATCCTTCCTTTTCCCAAAGAACTGCATATATAAAACATCCTGACCTTCTTTTTTTCAGTTTCTTAGCATATTTAGGAACTTTCAGGATAGTTCTGATACTATATATCTGTGGATATTTTAGTCATAAAAATGAAAAAGCCTTCCTCAGAATGTCCTAGTAACTTGGCTCGTCTGGTGACATGGACAGCTGTAGGATTAACAGCATCAATTAAAAAATTCTGTCCTTCTCAGAACCTTAAGCGAGGTGAGTTTAGCTAATCTGAATTGGCAACGCAAGAAATCCTTGCCTGGTTAAAGACATTATCACTGGTTTTATGCTACCTCTCCTTTATGGAAACTAACAGTTGGGAACAAGATGCATCACTGGAAGGAGGAAAGAGCTCTGATCTCCTCCTGTCTTTACATATCTGAAGAGCAAAGAGATAGAGGAGTTGCTTAGACTCCAGTTTCCTCTTGCACTTCCAACTTTACAGAACAAATATTCTCAGCATCTGGATGAGAATGCCATCCAAAATCCACAACTAGTACAGCCAACAGCAAATCATCCAAAGCACCGAGAACAGTGCAACAACATATTTCCATGTTTTCACCTGGAATCAAGTAATTTCCAAAGCTTAAGAAGATTGAGTGCACCTTACAAAATCTGAACTACTGAAAGTGCTGCAGCTGTGCCACATCAATTCATGCAGGATGCATAACGAGATTTTAATATATATGGAAAAGAGTTTTGTGAGCAATTTCACTGCATTGCTAATAGGAAAAAAAATAATGAAGAGAGATTTGAAATACAAAGCAAGCTGCTTTTCAGAATGAAAATCCAGGAAAGTGTTGGTTTTCTGAAGCATGTGTTAAGTTAGCTTGCCAGTACAGCCCATGTGAAATTGATCATAAAGAAAGGAGCATTTCCTATGGGAGAATCACAGCACCTTCTGAGAAAAATGATCCATTAAAGCATCTATGCTGGAAATCTGACAACTGCATCTCCCCCTGTGCTCTACAGAGACTACAACTGTCCTATTCAATTACTGTCAAGAGCACAAAGGTAAAGTTTTTCCCTGTCCTGTTTTCTTTCAGTCTCAGATGCTACTTTGCTACAAGTAATCAGAAAAAAGGAAAAACAGCCAAGCACTTTGAATCCATATTCTTACCTGAGATTTGGGTATGCACAGATGGCAACCTAAATAGTCTCATTAGTTAAAATCAGGAGGAACCAGGCAGCTCAGCTCTTTTTGTGAGAAGAGCCATGAAAAACAGAGCCTGAAGTGATTTCTGAGGAGGAGGAAAATGCTTCTGCCAGCTGCAGAAATACAAAGAGGAGGGAAATTTGAAATGCTCTCCCTTTGCATGGAATCTCTACAACTCCTCATTGATATGAATTAGATGGCATTGGCTGAGGAACAGGTGTTGTTTTTGCAGGTGGGGAAAGCAAAACCCTGAGCAATGACTGCTCTCACAGGATTATTACTAGAAGATGGAGCACAAAGTGCAGCTGGAGTGAGTGAGAGGGAGTGTTCGTTGTAAGAGAAAGCAAGAGAGTAAAACAAATGAAAGGCTGAAGGAGAAAGACCAAAGACAGAGGAAAAAAAAAGTGTGTTACGGAGAGACCTTGAAGAAGCACATAAGAGTACAATCGATGAACAACTGAGGACTCTACCTCTCATCACTTAATGGTTGCTATGTCTGAATATTTATTTCAGCAGAGAAGTCTGATCTCAATTGCTCACCCCTGTGCTTTATCTCTCTTTTCTCACCTGTCCACAGCAATCGCTGTCATGGAGTAGATGCTGGCGAAGACAGCTGTGATGGGGAAGAAGTTGTGGAAACGGCAGTAAGCCTCTCCAAAGTACCACTCGCTGTGCAGTGCATAGATGAAGTTGATGAGAGTATTGAAAGCAGCCATGGAGGCATCAGAGAAGGCCAGGTTCACCAGGAAGTAATTGGTCACGGTCCTCATGCGCTTATGAGCCAGGATGATCCAGATGACAATGAGATTTCCAAAAATGGCCACTGCCACCACACCACCATATGCCAGAGACCACAAAGCGATGCGCCAGGAGGGCTGCACAAACTGGTTGGAGAAGTTGGCTGCAAGAGGGGTAGAAGCATTTCCAGCTGGGACTTCCAGCGCCTGTCCCCAGGGGTCTCCTGCTGCAGCAAGGCTCATGTTCCACCTGCTGCTCATGCTTGCATTCCAGTTGGCTGTGGGGACAGAATTCATCTCGAATGTTGCTCTCCTTTCTTCAGGGAATATCTCTCCCACCTCCCACCGCCCTATCCTTCAGAATCCCCCCAAAAAGATAAGAAGAGGAAGGAAGGAAAAAAGAAAGTTAGGCAGCACAGCAAGGACCGGGAAGGAGAGAGCTGTCAGAGAAAGCTTTGGCTGTGCTGTTCAAACAGTTAGAAATGCTGTACTAGCTGAGTCAGAAGAGCTATCTCTGGATAAAGAATCTCATTCCTCCTCTGTGCAGCCACCTCTTGCTTTTGGTTTTGCTGAAGGAGAATGGGACTGGGATCTGAGGCACGTTTTATAGGCTTGGGAGTTGTCAGCGTCATGAAGGGAGTGGAGTGATAAGCTCCATCGGCTGGTAAGACAACACCTCTTTCTCTCTGTTTTCTCTCCTCCCCTTTTATTTCATTCATTGTCAGCAGCAGCACTTTCAGGAGCTGTGGAGAGCACCACGAGGAATATGAATCCTTCTCTCATTTCTGTTGAGATTTGTTTTATGTTGCCTTTCTTTATCTTTCATTATTGCACATCTTTTTTAAATAGCCTTTTTGCACTGTCTGTACAGAGGTTAATTAGCTGGCTTATTTGAACGTCCAAAAGACCAAGACTTTTTTTTAATTAAAATTCTTTCCAGATCTGCTTTTCTGCTACTGTCTTTTCATTTTGTGCATGCTTTCCTTTTAATCATTCTGTTACCTACAGGTTTGTAATAGCAATTTCTTTCAGCTAAAGAAATACATCTCGTTGTGATGCAATCAGTATCAAAAAACACTTATAAAACTAAAATGTGACTACTTTTTCTGTACAGTGTTTATATTGGTTCCTGCAGAGCCATTTGCATATTCAGCAGAGACTGTTGAAACAGCCCTAAATATAGATGTACTTATATATGGGTAAGATACTAGTGATTTGTTTTCTTTGAGTGTTTGGGGAAAAAAAAAAAAAAGAAAAAGAAAAAGAAAAAACCCACAAAGCATACTTTGACTTGATTTTTCTTATTTGCATTTATTTCACACTTAGCTTAGTACTATTATTATTTTGAGCAAATGATTTTTAGATTCACTGATTTCTATACTGGTAGAAAAAGGTAAATGAGCAAATGGAACAGTTCGTGTTTTCACATGTAAGAAGTCAGTTTTCTTTTTAATGTCAGCAATAGCTGGCATAGAGATTGCATGCTTTGTGCAAGGGTTGACTGCAAGGGACTTCAACTGTCAGGTCTTTGCTAGTTAATTGGCTGCAGTCTTCAAGGAGAAAATGTGTTTTAGTGCAATCCACTCCATGCTTCAACAATTCAGAGCTGCTGCTACTTGTCATCATCTGAGATTTCAGCTGTATAGCAGTGGGAGCAGTTCAATACCCCATATTAGCAGTCACACATTCTACATATTTTAAAATAAAATATTCACAGAAAAATAAAATAAAATATTCCTGTGTGCCACTTCTTCCCTGCTTTATTTACCCATTGGAAGTACTGCATATTAGTTGCTGTGTCTTCGGTTTTAATTTGAATGCCTGAAATTGTGGCTATTTCTGTATTTCTAAATTCTTTTGAGGTCTTATCCACTGACATGATCCCAATCAGCAGCCTACGAGAGCTCTGCTGAAGTCCACCTTTGCTACAGCATATCTAGAATCTATCCATGCACTGCACATCCTTCTCATGGGAAAATCATGGGAGTAAATCCCATAGTTCCCTGTATTGCTTCCTACATCTTCCATCTGCATCAGTCTTCATCCTCTCCTTGGAGCTAAGCACGAAGGAGGGAGTAGTAGTTCACACACCATTTCTCTATTACTCCTTGTGTCCTATTCTCACAAGATTCCATAATAAGGAATCGCCAGAACAGCAGAGGCTGTAGTACTGCCATAGTGAATTGAAGCTGCACAGTGAATGGTAAACTAATCTTCTCTGCCTTTTCCAATGCACAAGGAATACGGGACTCACTAATTACAGCAGAGATTTCAGCACCCAGCTCTTGACATTAAAATCTTCATCCATGACTCTCACATGGCTTTAAGCCAGAAAGCAGAAACCCAACCCTGTGCCCTGCCTCTTTATACTTTTGTGTCCACCCTAGGAATTCTAGACTGTACCCTTTTACTAAGTTGAGCTGTTTCCCACCTTTCCACGTCAGATGACCAAGCCCTTGTTCCCCATATGCTTCTGAAAAAGCTCCTGCTACATCCAAAAGACTACAGCAAAGAGGTAGGTTGACCTGTCCTTAAGCACATATCTCACTAGCAATTAACTAATGAAGGAAAGAGTTAAGGAATGCAGCAATTGGCTCTTGCTTAAAAGGTCAGTTCACTTGAACAGTGAAGTCGGCTGTGCTTTTCTGTCAAAATTTGTATTGATTATACGTGTACTGATTGAAGTTTCATCAGTTGAAGCTCATCAGCTGTCAGTTTCTCAAGTAAGTTTTACGGCAGCTTCGGAGAAAGCGTTTGTATTTGGTAACTTATATGTAGCAAAATCTGTCTGACTGGTGAAATTTATTTAAAGGAGCAGTGCAAAGGACCAAGATTTTTTTTTTTTTCCTCATTCTTGCAGAAAAATATGATAGTTGTAGAGCATATTCATTCTGGTATTTTATTCTGAAACTGTTACAAGCATGTCATTTTTTTGCCCATTCCAGGTTACATATATTCACAGTGGGAATTTTTGTATAGGTAATATACAAATATACAATATATTATAATCAGTTTGAGAGTGTTTTCTCATCATATGCTATTTGCTGTTCTCTTTTGTCCTTTCATTGATAGCTTTGCGCTCACACAGTCCCACATGGTTGTAGTTGTTATATTTCCCCTTGCCATAGCTTCACAGAATTACTGAGGAAAGTGTAAGAAACATCCAAACTGTGATTAAGAAACTAACCATGATTGTCTGTAGTTCTTCCTTTCCCTTACATTGAAGCTATTTTATCACAGTTCCAACCACAGCTCCCCTGCTGAGCTTGAAGCAGAGGATAAGCTCTTGTCTTAGCATTTTGACTCTAAGGTAGATTTAGAAATTTTTCTGTTCTTTGCTATTTATGGAACTATGATTTCATCTTGTACAGTTCTTCCAATGTAACTTGAAGTTTTCATTTGAAGTCACTCTTCCACTAAATTCACTTGTACAGCATGGGAGAGAGCCAGAGAATATCAACAGCAGTTCGCAAGTAGGGGTTTATAGGAAAACAACATCCTGTACAGAATACTTATGTGGTGTGTGTGCTAACTTGCATCGCTGTAAATTGCAGTTGTCCTCTGTGGTCTTTTTCTTTTGCATACAGCACGAAGAGCACAGCTAAGTTGGCTTTTTTGGGGGATTTGCTTGCTTACGCTTAATTGCATGACCTCCTTTCTCTACCTCCTTACCTAAACCCCTAGCTGAAAGAAGTGATCCTTCATCAGAAATTGTGGTGACCCCAGTTGTTTTCTTCATTGGGGTGTTACTCAGCTGCTTTTGTATCTCTGTACCAATCAGGCAAAATTTTAGTTACTGTAGGAGAATGTTAGCAATTTAAAAGTCTTAACACTGTCCTATTTTTTTTGTGACTGCTTGTTCTTGTTGTGCTGCTGTCATGACAATGTTAGTCTACCCCGATTTTGAACAGTTTTCTTTTATTTATGAGGCTTAAAGCATAGCTAGAAAGCTCAGTTTGAATCTCGTTTTTGATTTTTGCATATGAATGCAAAATTTTTCTTGCCATCACCAACTGAAGCTGGTTCAGTAGGATATCAGGCAACTATACAAGCATGTGAGTAAGGCTGCTGAAGCAAAGGCGAGGTCAAACCCAGAAGTATAGCATATGGCTCTTCTTCATAGAGGTGGCTAAAAGTCTGGGAACAATCCCATTCACTGCTAGATCATTTAGTTCCCAAGTTCCCTGATCCTTAACCTCCCGCCTATGTTTCCCAAAAGCATATGGACTCTGCATGAATGCCCCATTTTTTTGTTTTCCCTATTTTTATAGCAAAAAAAACCAAACTATTTTTCTTGTAAAACGCCCTATAGGAGAAATGTTACTATTTTCTCTATGTTAAAGAATGAAAGAATCAATAAACTATAGTACAGATTTACTAGCTCAGTAATTAAAATAATGCTTTAATGCAATTATTGGAACTGCGTATTTCCTTTTCGTTTGAAGGACTTCCATCGAGGCAGGTGGGTTTCTCCAAGTGATGGCTTTCTCCATACACTGTGGACTGCACCTGGGTGAATACTCTTGATGGGTGAATTATAAATTTATTTAAAAATTGAAATTGTGGGTCAAAATGGCAATTAGTAATTAAATACAGTTAATAGCTGTAGCCAAAAGAATGTGGAGAAATGGGGAGATTTTCTAGAGTTAATACTTCTATATGATTAGAAAGAAACTGTTAAACTTTGTTTCAAAATTTGTTTTTGGAAAACAAACAGAATGCTATCTCTTCTTACAAACACACCAATAACATTTAAATCATTAGAAATCTTACTATGGATTTCCATTTTTGATCAGCCTATAAAAAAGGATTGGCCACAAAATGTTTATTTCTGTTGTTGATTTACATTTGTTGCAGTTGTGCCTGAGAATCTACAGTGTTCTCTATATGCATATAGGTCTAGTCAGTGCTTTGAAATGCTTCTTTAAAGCTATCAGATTTTTCCACTGCTTTGTTTTTGTTTTTGTTTTTCCTCTTAATTTTCTTTTTCTGTTTCCCCCCCTCCCCATCTTTGGTAAATTTATGCCAGCTGCAAACTGGGATGAAGATTTTCCAGCCCTTTCAACCTCTTAAACTAAACACAAGATGAAAATAATTAGAATAAATGATGACCGTCAAATTTTCTAGAATTATGGTTTTTGTATAAAGAAGTACTGAGATAATAGCAATGCCAAGACTCTTATGATCTGCTGATAGGCATAACTGGTGTGGTATAATAGGATTGCATCTGCTGTTACTTGCTTTTTGAGGCTTGGTGTAGGAAGCTATCACTTGTGCCAACCCTTTTTCCTTCTAAT